AAGTTTGGTTTAAAACCCCCTAAGAAATCTGTAATACAAGGGAGACAATTCAATATCATCTTCAACCACAAATGCAAACTCATCATTGGAAGCAGGCCACCATGCTTCCAACCACTGCGCCTGCAGCCCAACGTTATCGGTCCGGTAATGCACCATCTTCTCCCCAAACCTCTACTCAAATCCATCAACAAAATCGAGAATCAGACGAGATTCATTCAGTTTTTTATCCAAATACTCATCCTTTTGATCCAAACCTTGAAGTGATCAATGAATATATGTATATACGTAAGTAAGGACTTTTGATTGTGAGTGAGAAATTAGGGTTTTGGAATTTGTTTACATTTGCATTCGTGAGTGGGAATTGAGTCATGGGAGGAGACAAGGGCAGAACAACTCATAATCAATTCATCAACAAGAAATCGACATTAACTGAACAAAATCCGAAACCTAATTTCCCAACTCAATAAAACAGATTTGAGAAATTGAACACAACAGCAAGGGGGCTGTGGAAGGCAGAAGAAGGAACGAGGGTGGGAGGAACGATCGACACAGCAAACCCCTTTCAATCAACTCGTGGAAAGCGACACAACAGCAATTCGGGAGAGGCAGCAATTCATGGGAGGAGACGAGATCGATTGGAAGGAGGAAGGAGGGTGGGAGGGGTTGGAGGAGCAGCGGGCTGTTGCCTGTTGAAGTTTGAGGAGAGGGCAAAAATGGAAGAAGACCCCTCTGAATCATTTAGGGGAGCCCTAGCCCCTAAATCGTTAAGAGCCTTTTGTAACCATTAAGAGGTTTTTTTTTTTGCCAAACAACCCTTACCTCTTACCGGTTAAGAGGTTGACTCTTAATGTCACCATTAAGAGCCAAACAAACAGCCCCTAACTTTAATATAAAAGATATTATCTTTCAAAAATATATATATTACGTACATCTACATGTGCTTACATCCCCACACACATATATAGTGAGGTTCATGAGAAAAATAATATCTATCTATCAATCATTAGATTTATTGATTTAACGAATAATATTAAATGGATGTTTATAACAATACTTTTTATATTAAAAACCTCACTATCGCCTATTTTTTATTCGAAAAAAGATAAAATATAAATATAAATAAACATCGAGCAAAATAAATTACATAAATAAATAATCATATTTTTCTTACTAATTTGACATCCATATTGATATTTTCATCACCAGCTCTTTTTTCGTGGGTTTTCCAGGTTTTCATTTATTTCGCTTTCAGAGAGAGGAGAGTGTTGAGTGTAGGGAAAAACACTAAATAAATGAAAATTTGAAAATTCATGAAAACGGATGAAAAAATATATCGACGTGTGTAATTTATTTCGCTCGATTTTTATTTATAATTCATTTTTTTTGGAATAAAAATTAGGGGTAGTGAGGTTTTTTAATTCAAAAAATATTGTTATATACGTCCATTAAATCACACGCGTTAAATCAATTAATCTAATGGTTGAGTTTCCCATGAAAAGTTGAACTACACTATATATATATATATATATATATATATATATATGTGTGTGTGTGTGTGTATGTGTGTGTGTATGTTCATTGAAGAATTGGTAAATATATGAGAAGTAAAAGTGATATTAGCCTTTCATACGATCAAGATTGATCAAGAATTGCGACTTTGATTGTTCAAGCAAAAAATAGAGGGGTTATTTTATAACTTGTGCAGATAGGCAACACACAAATGCGTATTTGTAAAAGTTATGAAACTACTCTCTATCTTACGCGTACCATGCGAGGAACTATCTGGTATTTCATAGTCAAAGTCGTAAATCTTGACCAAGTAAATGACTATGATTACTTATCTATTTCTCAAATACTTCTCCAATGAACCTATTGATATATATATATATATATATATATATATATATGCATGTATATATGTATGTATGTACGTACTTACATATGTAGGCATGGCAACGGGGTGGGTTTTGTAATCTCCGTCCCCGGCCCCGATTTGTAGTAACGTACCCCGGTCCCCGGTAGGTACGGAGATTATCATCACGTCCCCGGTCAAAGCTCTAGCAATCCCTGGTCAAACCCCATAAATAGTTTCCTTTAGTTTGATTCTACCGGGGATCCTCAGCCCCGGGACTCGCTTTAGAGGGGAATCCCCCTCCCCGTTCAGGTCGGGTGAAACGGGTTCCCTACCGGGTCAAGGCAAATCACCATCCCTACATGTATTGTATGTATGTGTGTGTGTTTGTGCGTACATGTGTATGCGTATACGTACGTAATACAATTTTTTTTGAAAGAAAATATAATGTATATTATAAATAATTAATATATATTAAAGTAAATAATTAATTAATTTAATAAACTCGAAGTATAAAATTTTGGTATTTTTTATTTTTTAGACTTAATTATAAATGTGGTCCTGATTTATGTGGTTTTACAAAATTGGTCTATGGAGTAAAGACAAAAAGGAAAATGACTAAAATGCCCTCAAGTTTAACGAATGAACTAAATGGTTGTTAGAGGGAGTGACCAATTCTGTACAAATCGACATATAACAAGTATTAATCTGTAATAAATGAAATTCATGAACCATTTTCAGAAAAACTATCAAACTACAGGGACTAAATCCATAAATTACTCAACAGAAAATGTTGAATGGGATGTCCATACCACGTGATTTGCACGTGGGGAACATGCACTGTGCGATGCGGTGGCTGGGAGGCGGGAGCCGTCGCTAAATTATTGTACTGTGCTCGGATGAAAACAAATTTTAACTCACTTGCTATTTATACTTTACCCCCTTCAACTTCTTTCTGCTTGTCTTCACAATCCTTCCGGTTTTATGATGGATTTTAGATAGCCATACTTTCTAAGAGTATCTAAGAGGTTGTTTGTTTAACTCTTAATAATTTCATTAAAAAAAGCACCTGAATCATTAGTAGGTGAATCTTGTTTAGCAAAAAAAATCTGTCTCTTAATGGTTCTAAAACCCTCTGAATAATTTTGTATCATGAGTCTCTCTTAACCATTAAACGCTCTGATTTCATTGTAAATAATTAACAAACAATTATATTTAATTTTGCACTATATCATGAAAGTCTCTTAATCATTCAACACCAAACCATTTAACAACTGTCAAACAACCCCTAAATTACATTGTTAAAAAAAATGGATAATCAAAATTTATGAATTTAAAAAAAATCACTCCAATTTTTAACAGTTT